ACTCTGGTGTAATTTGAACGGGAGCGGGCGGTCTAACAATATCCCGTTCCCGACGTCCATTTAGAACAGCATATCTGTGCTTTATTCTTATTGACCACCGGTACAGCTTGCGCTCAGGACTGTTATGCACGCGCTGCACACATGCTTTAAACGTCACGAGTTTTATTTGCGTGGTCTGTGCGCAGCATGTGCATAATGATGCTCAGAGCAGGCTGTAGCCTACCGGTGGTAAATATACGGCCCTCAGACAGACCAGGCAGGTTGTCGATGAGTGACAGAGCAGAATAAGGATGGAGTGCGACACTTTTTCCTATTGTGTTGTCAATGTTAAACGAATTGTATCCTGACAAGATGAATAAAAATAAGAAATAAAATGTTTGTACAACATTTTTATTTTCTATAGAGTGAATATATAGCGGGAGCGGGTGGGTGCGGAATAGAACCTCGTGGGAGCGGGACTAAAAAAAACAGTCCTCTAGTTTGTGCACACAAAATATTCCAAGTGGAAGTGTATTGAATCTACGGCTGTGCAAAAAATCTTATGCGATTTTCATGCGCATCTCGTCAGTAAAGCCGCTCCTGTGATTAGAAGTAAATCTCCAGCACGTGCTTTCAGATGGAGCGGCATTTACTACACAGAGTCGTAGTTCACTGATAAGCTACACAAAATCGCATTTTACTCGAAATTGGCTTTACTGACGAGATGCACATGAAAATCGCATAAGATTTTTTGCACAGCCCTAATTGAATCAAATCTTATTAGTGCAGATTCACCCTATAACTTACATTAGAGATCCAAAAAGTGGGGTATTAGTGAATGATGGGGATTATTCAGGAATTCTGTGGCAAAATCCCTCATGAACTTACATGAATAATACGGTTCCCATTAAACCAACAAATAATAAGTAAATCAAAATCTATACTGTGTGTTTGCTGAGAACTGGTGCTGAAAATAACAGACTTCTGTTTTACTGTTAGTTCAATGTTGTATGCGGAAAGACTTTAAAAATGTGGTAGAAAATACCACATTCTTAAAATGTGTTTTAAGATGCCAAACTAAGTCACTAGTGCTTCCATCCAAGGTAAAACTCATCTTAAAATTCCTCAAGACCACTTACCATCAAATATACCCACTAATACGTGGTAGAAAATACCAATTTATCAGGTCAACATGTTTAGTTGTCATAAATAAACCATGATAAATTGAATCAGAACCCTAAACACTACAATTCTGGAATCATCTGTAGGGACGCACCGTTTCTTTTTCTTAAAATGGGTTTTAAGACTCCAAGTAGGTCACTAGTGCATCTATCCGAGCTAAAACACATCTTAAAATCCCTCAGGACCATTTACCACCAAATACGTCCTCTAAAACTCGAGTTCACTCGCACTGCATGTAACAGTCAATATAAAATATACAGCATCTGCACACCTAGAGTTATTGTGAGAGTTTAGGGTTTCATGCATTATAGCAGAGAAAACACCAGTTTAGATGGAATTTCGAAAGGGAAAGAAGTCATGATTGGATGGCAATGAAGGAAAAAAAAAATACTGTAAAATGTGTGAATTAATATATGCTGGGTCATAAATCAGAAAATAAAAGAGAAGCTAGTAAAACTATTAAAAGCACAGACATACATGCAGCATAAGATGAAATGGACCTTGGCAATCTTTCTTGATCATGAATACTCACTATAAACTACATATAATATTGCATGGGCCCTGAATGGTGAACGTCCAGTTAACCCCATAAGGTACATTCGTTTTCCTCATAGGCGACAAACACGCTTGTTTAAGGCTAGACGGTGTGATAGCAGCTCAAACTCTCTAATACAAATGAAATGAGTCTCTGGAAATGCCGGGTGGAGATCAGGTCCACGTAATGCACTATTCTCACTTCTACAGCACGTCAAGACTCGCTGTGCGATTTGGTATATCAAGGTTTTAAAAGCAACTATCCTACTGGCCAATAGTGTGACTGACAGGAAGACAGGCAAGAGACGGACAGCTGCGGTCGTGGCTCAGACTGGCATGTGCATCTCTGTGTATTCGTCGTGACCCTCCTTCTCGTCAAAAGTAGGCTCTGCGTCATCAGCGTCCAACTGAGAGTGAGAAGAGAGACAGAAAAGCCACACAAACAGCATTAGTCAGCATGATTTTGAATTGATCTTTTTGTGCATGATACATCTGTGCACTATGGAAGCCGGTTTCCGCCACTGAATAATAAATCAAACAGGGTAATTGTGACTTTTTCTCTCACAATTCTGACTTTTTTTCTCGCAATTGAGAGTTATAGACTCAGAATTGCGTGATGTAATCTTGCAGTTCTGACTTTTTTCTTGCAATTGCGAGTTTATATCTCACAATTATGACTATTTCTCAGAATCGCAAGTTTTCTCTTACAATTCTGACTTTTTTCTCACAATTGTGAGTTTACATCTTTCAGTTTGGACGTTTTTTCTCAGAATTACATGATATAAACTCAGAATTGTGAGATAAAAAGTATTTTTTATTTTTTTTATTCAGTGGCGGAAACAGGCTTCCAAAGTGCACATTATTCCAAAGGACAAAATTATGTCCTCATTTTAAAATAAAATTATTTAATTTAATTTTGTAAGTAATTTAATTTTTTTATTTTACTGTTTTAAAAGTTTGGGGTCGGTAAGATTTTTTTTTTTATGTTTTTGAAAGAAGCTCACCAAGACTGAATTTATTTGATCAAAACACAGTCAAAACAGTAATACTGTGAAATATTATTTTAAAATAACTGTTTTCTATTTGAATATATTTTAAAATGTAATTTATTCCTGTGATGTAAAGCTGAATTTTCAGCATCATTACTCCAGTCTTCAGTGTCACATGATCCTTCAGAAATCATTCTAATATGCTGAATTACTGCTCAAGAAACATTTCTGATTATTATCAATGTTACAGGTACAATTTTTGTGGAAACCGTGATACATTTATCAGGATTCTTTGATGAATAGAAAGTTCGAAAGAACATCATTTATTTGAACTAGAAACTGAAAATGTAACATTTTGTAACATTATAAATGTCTTTACAATAAATGTATTAATTCTTCAACAAAACAAAAAAAGCAAGAAAAAAAAAGTCTTTGTATGTGTTTTTGTGCATGCAAAGGTCCTTACACACTGCATTTCACGAGCGCTAAAGATGCGTGGCAGAAGAAACATCTTGACAGGGACGGTCATGATGAGAACGAACGGGAAAGCCAGAGATGCCACAGTAGACATGACCGCCCAGAGGACAGCAAGACAGACCACCTGTATTGCAGTGAAGAGATGCATCCGCAGGGTCCGCACCTGAGGATTCAGTCAAGATACACAGTAGAAATCAGTTCTACCTTCCGTACTGTTAGTTACAACCATAAAGACCTCTGTATCTGATACTATTACTGCAGTATGTTACTGCCACAGTACCTTTTTAAGGGAACAATGACCAAAAATCCTCTTTATTAATAAACAAAAAAAACAGATTGGAGTCCTGACCTTGCTCACATAGGTGTGATCAGGGTGGTATTTAGGGGGCATCAGCAGCAGCAAGATCCGTTCAGTCAGCTGGATCCCATTCAGTGACATCACACCCATGTACAGGAAGATGCCAAACAGCACAGCGATGGGGATTTGACCGAGCAGATCACCGATTACTATTGAGAGACCTACAGCCAACAAAATTTGAAGTATGAAGACATTTTATAGACTTTTTCCTTCATTTAATTTATACATTAATACATACAATAGTCATTTTACACTGATTTAATGTGCATGTTATGAAATAGTATGCATTGTAGTAGCAATAAGCCACAAGATACTATTGTGTTACAGTGATTTTACCTTAAACTGTGAAAAAAAAAAAAAAAGCCTGTATTGGTCAGTCTTTGGTTACTTATTTTTCTAAAACACTGGCAACAGCAATATGATAAAATCCATAAATGTCCAATAAATAATGAAACTGCCCTGCATCATATTTGCTAGATGAAATCCTATACTTTTTTATACTAAAAAAAAAAAAAACTTCATATTTTTGGGCTGCTCATTCCAAAAATAGTATCGGATTCCAAACAAATGATCCTTCAATATTTTAATAATATATATATATATATATATATATATGTACATTGTTGTCTACGTAAATAAGAATCCCTCTTAGACTGTCTGTTACTATCCCCAAAAAATGAATGATTCATGTTTACTTTATTATACAACAGAGTGTGTTTAACTTATAGAAGTATAGGACAGAGGAAAATATTTATTTATTTAAAAGAAATTAATATATTTATGCAGTAAGGATGCATTAAAAATAATCAAAAATAACCTTAAATACATTTAAAATGTTACACAATATTTCTACTTGAATGAAATGTTTTTCTTTTGAACTTAACATTTTTTCTTTCGCACCAAATCAACATATTAGAATGATTTCTGAAGGATCATGTGACATTGAAGTCTGGAGTAATGATGCTGAAAATTCAGCTTTGCATCACAGGAATAAATGATATTTTAAAATATATT